CCCTATGCTTCAGCCATAGGATCTATTATGTATGCCATGCTGTGTACCAGACCTGATGTAAACCTTGCCGTAAGTTTGGTAGGAAGGTACCAAAGTAATCCCGGCAAGGAACACTGGACAACGGTCAAGAATATCCTGAAGTACCTGAAAAGGACAAAGGACATGTTTCTCGTTTATGGAGGTGACGAAGAGCTCGTCGTAAAGGGTTACATCGATGCTAGCTTCGACACAGATCTGGATGACTCTAAGTCACAAACCGGATACATGTATATGTTGAATGGTGGAGCAGTAAGCTGGTGCAGCTGCAAGCAGAGCGTCGTGGCGGGATCTACATGTGAAGCGGAGTACATGGCAGCCTTGGAGGCAGCGCATGAAGCAATTTGGGTGAAGGAGTTCATCACCGACCTAAGAGTCATACCCAATGCGTCGGGGCCGATCAAACTCTTCTGTGACAACACTGGAGCTATTGCCCTTGCCAAGGAGCCCAGGTTTCACAAGAAGACCAGGCACATCAAGCGCCGTTTCAACTCCATCCATGAAAATGTTCAAGATGGAGACATAAATATTTGCAAAGTACATACGGATCTGAATGTCGCAGATCCGTTGACTAAACCTCTTTCGCGAGCAAAACATGATCAACACCAGAACTCTATGGGTGTTCGATTCATCACAATGTAACTAGATTATTAACTCTAGTGCAAGTGGGAGACTGTTGGAAATATGCCCTAGAGGCAATAATAAAAGGATTATTATTATATTTCCTTGTTCATGATAATTGTCTTTATTCATGCTATAACTGTATTATCCGGAAATCGTAATACACGTGTGAATACATAGACCATAATATGTCCCTAGTAAGCCTCTAGTTGACTAGCTTGTTGATCAACAAATAGCCATGGTTTCCTGACTATGGACATCAGATGTCGTTGATAACAGGATCACATCATTAGGAGAATGATGTGATCGACAAGACCCAATCCTAAGCATAGCACAAGATCGTGTAGTTCGTTTGCTAGAGCTTTTCCAATGTCAAGTATCTTTTCCTTAGACCATGAGATCATGTAACTCCCGAATACCGTAGGAGTGCTTTGGGTGTACCAAACGTCACAACGTAACTGGGTGACTATAAAGGTGCACTACAGGTATCTCCGAAAGTGTCTGTTGGGTTGACACGGATCGAGACTGGGATTTGTCACTCCGTATGACGGAGAGGTATCTCTGGGCCCACTCGGTAATGCATCATCATAATGAGCTCAAAGTGACCAAGTGTTTGATCACGGGATCATGCATTACGGTATGAGTAAAGTGACTTTCCGGTGACGAGACTGAACGAGGTACTGGGATGCCGACGATCGAGTCTCGGGCAAGTAACGTACCGATTGACAAAGGGAATTGTATACGGGGTTGATCGAATCCTCGACATCGTGGTTCATCCGATGAAATCATCGTGGAACATGTGGGAGCCAACATGGGTATCCAGATCCCGCTGTTGGTTATTGGCCGGAGAGCAGTCTCGGTCATGTCTGCATGATTCCCGAACCCGTAGGGTCTACACACTTAAGGTTTGGTGACGCTAGGGTTATTAGGAAGACTTGTATGTGATTACCGAATGTTGTTCGGAGTCCCGGATGAGATCCCGGATGTCACGAGGAGTTCCGGAATAGTCCGGAGGTGAAGATTTATATATAGGAAGTGCTGTTTCGGCCATCGGGAAAGTTTCGGGGTCACCCGGTATTGTACCGGGACCACCGGAAGGGTCCCGGGGGTCCACCGGGTGGGGCCACCTATCCCGGAGGGCCCCGTGGGCTGAAGTGGGAGGGTAACCAGCCCCTAGTGGGCTGGTGCGCCCCCCCTTGGGCCCCCCTGCGCCTAGGGTTGGAAACCCTAGGGTGGGGGGGGGGGCGCACCACTTGCTTTGGGGGGCACTCCACCCCCTTGGCCGCCGCCCCTTGGGAGATTCCCATCTCCAGGGCCGCCCCCCCTTGGGGCCTATATAAAGGAGGGGGGGAGGGAGGGCATCCGCACCCCCTGAGTCTTGGCGCCTCCCTCTCCCTGTTACACCTCTTCCTCCTCCCGCGGTTGCTTGGCGAAGCCCTGCCGGAGTGCTGCATCTCCACCACCACCACGCCGTCGTGCTGCTGCTGGAGCCTTCTTCCTCAACCTCTCCTTCCCCCTTGCTGGATCAAGAAGGAGGAGACGTCATCCGCTCCGTACGTGTGTTGAACGCGGAGGCGCTGTCCGTTCAGCACTTAGTCATCGGTGATTTGGATCACGACGAGTATGACTCCATCATCCTCGTTCTCTTGAACGCTTCCGCTCGCGATCTACAAGGGTATGTAGATGCACTCCTATCACTCGTTGCTTAGATGAACTCATAGATGGATCTTGGTGAAACCGTAGGAAATTTTTTAATTTTCTGAAACGTTCCCCAACACCCAAAACACAAAAGAATGCGTATACCAACATTGTCTCCAAAAATTAAAGTGTAATTTGCAACTTAGTAGTAGAATCGCCCGTTCCTTGGTTTAACTGAAGCCTCCTCAAAGTACTGAAATTAAATTGCCAGGAACACTTTCAAAAGAGAGGCAACAAAAAGAAAAATGTTTCCTTGCACGTGCCCTAAGATCAGAAATACAAAAAATATGATAAAAGTTCTTGATTTTAGGACAAGAATATTTTGCAAATCGGCCTCAAGTTCATCGAGGGGACACTTGTGATGCAACAATAGTTGTAAGAGTATCAATTACTTTCGAACCAGCAAAATAATTCCACACACTCTCCTTATTTTTGCGAAAGGGCAAAATAATTCTTGAGACCTGTATTTTTCTTGAAAGATCCAACAAATTGCTGGATTCAATTAGATTTAGCAGAAAGCATCGGAAGAACAACATGGGGGTAGGGATGTCAATCGGGTCCCATTTAATCCCGTTTAAAGTCCACGTATGATATGATAGTTCAAAAAGGTTTTTTGTTTGTTCGAGGAAAATGAACTATCTAGCTAGCAAAAACTAACTAAACGGGATTGCGGACGCCATTTATTTGCCACTTACATCCCTACATGGGGAGATCCGTAGATCAAAGAGAAAAGAAGAAACAACAGCCCTACTGGCTGCTGAACAACACTACACTTACACGGCGGAACGCCATCCACCCACAGCAAGACAACACAACTCCGATTCCGGCGGAGAACTACAGAGAGCAAAACAATGTTGGCTTTACGGAAGATCACCGAACGGATCACTTGTCGCCCGTCATCGTGCACCACCGGTGCCTCGCACCGCAGCTTCGACTTCACAACAATAAGCAGCCGAGGTAGTCTCATGGACGCGCCAGAGAAGAGCCGACTACCACGACTAATGCCACGCCTCCGACATAGTTGCCACATAAGCCAAATCGCCCTCATCACCGGACGGACACGACCGAGCAACATGAACAACCTCCCCACCTATCACTAGTCCCTCTGGCCGGTAAGGAGCTACGGGACCGATGCCCCAAGAGGTGCGACACATGTCGCCATCATCGTCCGGTCCTAGGGGATCAAGGGTTCCCCCGAGCATCCTTGCGTAGTGGAGCGAGCAGGAACACCTCAGCGACGCCTTCAAGAAGTGACGCCCGCAGGCGTCGCCGTCGCCTGCCATAGCCCAAAAACTGGCAGCAAAGTCTTCACCGGCGCTGCACCTCCGACCACCAAACCCAAGCCAGACCACCACCGCGGAGACACGGCCGGCGGCCGCCAGCCCCACGGGCCCAACGTCCGCGGCAACCACCTTCAGAACTGGACGCCAGGGCCCATATCTCCATCGTTTTCGCTGGTCCGCGCCGGATAGAGCAGCCGGCCCCATGCGCCTGATGGTTGTCACGACCTCCTCGCAGAACAGGACACCGGGGCCCGATCTGCTTCGCACCGCCCCTTGGAGCCCAACTAGCCGACGACCACCGGTGCGCAGAGCCGTCTACAGCCCACGCGCCACCGAAAAGCTGGCTCCCGCCGGAACCATCTCCTCTGCCACAATACCGAGCAAGAGCCCGCCCGGCGGCAACCCTCTTTAGATCCAACAGGGGCTCGCCCTGGTGTGGTGCGCCCGCGACCCGCGCGGCCACCGCGTGCCCCAGGCTGCAGCCAACCCTGCATCGCCGCCCGTGCCGCTCAGTAGAGGAGCTCCACCATCGCGCCTAACCCAACAGATCCGCGCCGCGCCTGCACTGCGCGCGCGCCCGCGCCTCTGTGCACTGCCTCGTCGGCCAGCCGCGCCGCCACGAGCACGAGCAGTCGCTCGAGCTCCCGCCGAAGCCACTGGCTCGCGCCAGCCATCTCGTACAGGAGGAGAAAAAATGGTCCCGCTGCCGCCGAGCCGCGTGGGCTTTGCCCGGCGACCGCTGTTGGCGGCGGCGAGGGGAGGAAGGAACTGGTGGATGGGTTGCTGGCAGCGGGGGCGGCTAGGGTTTGCCTCTGGGCCGCCCGCCGGAGCGACACAGGAGACCGCCGTGCTCAAAACTACTACATGGACTTGTCTTGAGACCTGTATTAGAATCAATGTTAGAAATTGGTAGTGCAGCCAATCAAGAATCCTTATAAAACAAAACCGCATCAAATTAGTGCTTTAGAAGATATGAGGAATAATAAACATATCTAAACGCTGTCGGTACGGTTTGCCACACCAGGATTAGAACTCACAACTGACCCAGGTCAAAGAATTGCTACTATAGTCGATCCCATCTTCTTTGCGTGGCTAAATAAAATGATGAGGGGTGCACAAGGACGTGATCTTGGACTAGCCACGATCGGAAACCAACTTCCAAGCGAGGCCGGTTTTCATCCGGTTGGTTGTGTATCGTGGAAGGTACGTACTCCTAATTAGCAGGGCAAGAAGAGGGACTCGGACTTCTTTTTAGAGGAGGACTCCAGAGTACATGCTACATATACACAGGCACCTAGACATACATAACGTACCAACCTACTCGTCGGAGAGCTTGTTGGATCTCTCGTCGTCTCTCGGTCAATGGGTGCCACCGCCAGCCATCCGTCGCCGAGGGACGAAATGCCGCTCCACGTGAGGATCTCCGACTACTCCAACTTGGTGCGGGTGCCTCTGCTTCACCGGGAGACTGTCCGCACATTCTCCTTCGGTGGCATCTTGTGGATAATCACAGTGGAACCGAAGCAATTTAACGAGGGTCTAGCAGATCGCATCCATGTCTGGGTCGACCTCCACTCCCGGTTCAGGTACAAACCAGACTTGGTGCTCCAAGGTATTGACATCTCCATGGAAGTCCTGGACGTGACCGGCGAGAACACCGTCTTCCACGAGGAGACCAATGGGATGCTGGAATCCGATAGGGTCTTGATTATGGTCCTGTACAGGAGGGAGCTGGAGGCATCGTCCTGTGTCCGCGACGACACCTTCACCCTCAGGTGCACTCTGACGAAGCAGCAGGCAACTTGGTGGCGCCTCTTCTCCAAACCTAACGAGCCCGCGTCCTTGGAGCCGCAGGTCGCCATGGCCGGATCCAACATGCTCACCATCGGCAGCTTCTACAAGCTCAAGGCCACGCTCCGGGGCGGGGAGTGCACCTACTCCACGCACTTCGCCGTGGGAGGGTGCAGATGGTACTTCCAATTCAGCCCCACTGGGGTAATTAGCCTCGTCCGCGCGAGTAAGGGCACGGCGCCGACAACAGCGGAGTTCAGTTTTGAGCTCGAGGGGGTGGTCAATTTGGAGTCTGAAAAGATGACTCACACGTTCAACCATGCCAACTCTAGATACTTTTATAGATGCAGGCTGGAGCCAAGCACGTCGGCCATGGATGACCACCTCATTGTTCGGTGCCGCCTCACCATTATAATGGTGGAGAGGCTAAGCTTACCCCATGCCACTATTGCGGTTGAGAAGATTCCACGAAAAATAATGGTGGAGAAGCCGAGCTTGCCCGTGGACAAGATTCCTCAAAAAATAACGGTGGAGAAGCCGAGCTTGCCCCCTGCCGCGATTCGGATCACCGCCACCCCGCACACCGAATCAGTACAAACTCCTCTATTGAGCGCCATGTATGACTGAGACAAGAGATCTGCTTGGATTACAAAGCCAATGCAAAACTAGTTCATCAATAGGTGCAAGCAATAATTTTTGTTTTTGTTTCAAATTTGAAGGAAGTGTCATTGTGTTCATACTAGGTTTTCACATTATTATTAACTAGTAGAATGCCCGTGCGTTGCCATAGGCTTTTGAAATATTTTACTAGAGTTATGTAAACATAATGCATGTTAAATTTTACATGTAGAAAAAAAATATAATGTGGACACAATCGGGTACTAATTTAAGTCCACTTCACTTGCAACGTAAATAATTTACATGCTAAATGCCCGTGGGTTGCTACGAGCCACAATGCAGGAAAACAAATGAAACTTAAGATTATGTAACATGTAACATGGATAAGGTCATTAGAACCATTGAGAATGGTAACTATGATCTCAAATTTAACAAAATCTAGTTGAGTTCCCGTACATTGCCACGGATAATGAAAAATATAGCCGCAATAGTCAAACCATTCTCTTTTGTAACATATATGCTAAATAGCTAAGGCACATCCGAGCAGCATTGCTCTAGTTCGGCATGTGTTTGCCTTCTCTGATGTTGTGTTGCTTTGCCATTGCGATGGATGGGGATGAATTGAGCATGTCATCATAATATTCACAGCCATTAGAGAATATGTGGCAATGAGAACTCATGTCGTGACTATGGTGCTCCAACTAATTTCTAGGGCTGCGACAATAGGCTTCACCTTCACAATATTTGTACTCTCCAAAGTCGGCTTCGCCTTCAATGGCATCGTGACAAACATGAGAGAATTTCTTTCACCCCCTCCTTGTCAAGCACTGCACACCCCTTCGCCTTATTCCTCCTCACCACAAGTGTGTTCCACGATGTGATGATACATATCATCGAATGGGGAAGGCAAGTACTTAGTTGATGTAGGGAAACACCGTCGCGGTTCACAGGTTAGAATGGTCACCATCGTTGTTATCACCCATGCCTTCTTCACCATGTCTAATTGCAGCACTGATAGGAGAGGGAAGATAAGGAGAGCAAGAGAGGTCATTAGATCATGTTGAACCCGTATGCAGTTTCCTTAGTTTGGTGTGATGGGTTCAACTGTGCGGTGCAGTTTGCCACCATGGAGGTTTCTCACAAATCATATAGGAACTGGTGTTTTCTTTCCTCATGTGCATGAAGCAATCCTTATATTTGCATGCGAGTAAACTGGTTAAATGAGAATTACATACCTTTTTGGTTGTTGTCTTTGAATAAATATAAATTTATACAAGCAAAGACATGAACTCACTAATCTCATAGACTGACAAAATACAAGTTGCCGGTATAACGGGAGAAGACACGAGTGTGGCATGTCATTGTCAAAATAGGAGAACTATCTAAAGTTTGATGAAAGAGATTGTTGGCATGTTTTTATAAAAAAAAGATCAACAAATATAAGATTTTTTTTTGAGAGAAAGCACAAAGCACACTTGTAGAAACCATCTCTGGCACAATTGCTTGTTGCTCTCATAAATAATCATCTTTCTGGAAGGAAAAGTTGCAATTACAACTTTCAGCTTAACTAAAACTCCCGCACATAAATTGTTCCCAGTAAAAGAAAAGAGATCACTATTGCAGGATACTGCTAACGCGATACTACGATCAGAGACCCTTTGACGAAACTGTGTGTGATGCATTAATCGCAAACGGTGATGTACAAAAACCGTCAAAAAATATGCAAAACGTTTGCGATGGCGGGTACATCAAACACGGTTCAGATTTTACTTGCGTGTGTGATGCTGGGCATACGGTTGATCCAGACGAACTATTTGCGATTATACTGAACAACAGAAACGGGCAGCCATATCAATGTGTGTGCGATATACGGCATAGAGTTTGCTCTGATGAACTGTTTGCTATTAGGGAAAGCAACAGAAATGGTCAGCCAGATCAACGTGTGTGTGATATACGTCATACGGTTCACTCGAACGAACTGTTTTCGATTAGGGAAGAGAATATAAACAGTTCAACTTAACAAGATGTGTGTGATACACGGCAAACAGGCCCGGAGGTTAATTTGAAAACAAGTACACAGAGGTTAATTTGACATACATGACTTGTAAGTTTCACAGAAATTATATCACTTTTTTTGGAAAACATTTGATTGCGTTGAATGTATATAGTGCTCCGTCCTATTAGTTGAATTAACCTCGAGATCCATGTTTTGGAAACATGTCGTAAAGTAACAGGATAGACCTTCACTCAAGCCAATCAACATGTGTTCAAAAAACAAAAATTATCAAAAAGTAACAGATAGACCTTCTTCAAGCCAATCAACATGTGTTCAAAAAACAAAAAATGTCAAAAATTACAAAACAAGGACCTCGAGGTTAATTCAACTAATATGATGAAGCACTATATACATTCAACACAATTAAATGTTTACAATGATCCATCAAATCAGTTAATTTAACATCGAGCCCACTTCCCATCCGGTCACCCATCAGATGACTACTCAAGCCTCAGCACAATTAACTTGGGAGTTCTGCTAGATGAGCTATCGGTAGGGAAGCTGGTCCTTGCTGCTGTAGGATCCCTCTTTGCATCCTTTATTGCGCACCCGGATGACCGACTATTGCTGCCCAATGGTCAATGCCACGTCCCCCGCGAATGTAGAAGCTTCCCTCCATTGGATGATGGCAGACGGTTAATCAAGAAGAACTGTTTGCGATGATGCAGAACAACAGAAACGGCCAGCCAGATGAGGGTGTGTGTGATATACGACATATAGTTCACTAGGATGAAATGTGTGTGCTTAGGCAACACAATAGAAAAGGTTCAACTTAACAAGATGTGTGTGATACGCCGTAGAGAGCGGCCGTGTGCTCTGCCGCCGTCTTGGTCTATTAGTTCCCTTTATATCTGGGCCAGATTTTGACCTTAAATTTAACCAACAAAATGTTAATGCATGTTACAAAAATTATATAACTGGAAACTATGTTCAAATATGAATCCAACGATAGAATCTTTGGCGACATGCATTCGTATTTTATTAGTTAAATCATACTTCTAAACCAGACGGGGGTATAGTAGGTAATTAAATCACAAACTTTTTTTATTAACTGTATGTGTATGTGTCCTTTCGTCCTCCTCTCGCACGTCTAGTCACCCCGCTGCCGCAGACAGCTTCGAGTGCAAACTTGAGCAGCAAGCGGGGGCGTTCTTTTGGCCAAACAGTGGTGAGCCCGTTCCCCGCTCAAGCTTCCCACCCAACTCGGTGAAATCCCCCAAAATTCCAATGCTTACCAGCCTACTATATAAACCCTCATGGTCGGCGAGTCCTGCGTCGCATTTTCCCCTCCCTCATTGTAGCTTATCTCGTCTGCTTCTCCCACAATCACCAATGGCACCGGTCCGTCGTCGTCGCTCAGCCACTTCGCCGTCATCAGAGGACAACTCCAGCTAGGAGGCTACACAGCGGCGGCGGCGCAGTCCCCGGTGTAGTGTAGTGTGCATGTTGTCCCTGTTGGGTGTGCGCGAAACACCCACCACACGCTCCGCTGCCGCTGCCGCTACACCACCATCGAAAGCCAGGGCCATCGCGTGCTCCACCGCCACGTCCTGAAGGCGGGAGGTGGCCGTCGTGGCTGCCACCCCACTGCCGGCCACCATGGCCATCACCCGCTCCGCCACCGCAACCCGAAGGTAGGAGGTGGTGGTCATGGCCGCCAGCCCATCATCGGCCGCCGGGATCATCACCCGCTCCGCCACCGCCGCCCGAAGGAGGGAGGCAGAGGTGGAGGCCCGCACGTGCGCCAACGATCTTGTGCGCTACATCGAGTTCCCGCGAGAGGAGGAGGAGCGCCTCGTCGAGCATGCAAAGAGCCTTACCGCAGCCGTGGCCGCAGCACACACTGATGCAGAGGAGACAAATCAGAAGATCTACGAGCAGTCCGGCCTTCAAGAGGGGTCGGGTGTCGATGTTAAAACCGGCAGATCTCGGGTAGGGGGTGATACGTCTCCAACGTATCTATAATTTTTGATTGTTCCATGCTATTATATTATCTGTTTTGTATGTTTAATGGGCTTTAATATGCTCATTTATATTATTTTTGGGACTAACGTATTAACCAGAGGCCTAGTGCCAGTTTATGTTTTTTTGCCTATTTTAGAGTTTTGCAGAAAAAGAATACCAAATGGAGTCCAAACGGAATGAAACCTTGGCGATAATCTTTCTTGGACCGAAAGCAAACCAGAAGACTTGGAGTAGAAGTCTGGAACGCCACGAGGAGGCCACGAGGCAGGAGGGCACGCCCAGGGGGGTAGGCGCGCCCCCACCCTCATGGCCCCCCCGTAGCTCCACCGACGTACTTCTTTCGCCTATATATACTCTTATACCCTAGAAACATCAGGGGTAGCCACGAAACCAATTTTCCACCACCGCAACCTTCTGTACCCGTGAGATCCCATCTTGGGGCCTTTTTCGGTGATCTGCCAGAGGGGGATTCGATCACGAAGGGCTTCTACATCAACACCATTGCCTCTCCGATGAAGCGTGAGTAGCTTACCACAGACCTTCGGGTTCATAGTTATTAGCTAGATGGCTTCTTCTCTCTCTCTTTGGTTCTCAATACAAAGTTCTCCTCGATGTTCTTGGAGATCTATTCGATGTAATACTCTTTTGCGGTGTGTTTTCCGAGATCCAATGAATTGTGGATTTATGAACAAGATTATCTATGAATATTATTTGGTTCTTCTCTGAATTCTTATATGCATGATTTGATATCTTTGCAAGTCTCTTCGAATTATCGGTTTAGTTTGGCCTACTAGATTGATCTTTCTTGCAATGGGAGAAGTGCTTAGCTTTGGGTTCAATCTTGCGGTGTCCTTTCCCAGTGACAGTAGAGGCAGCAAGGCACGTATTGTATTGTTGCCATCGAGGATAAAAAGATGGGGTTTATATCATATTGCTTGAGTTTAGCCCTCTACATCATGTCATCTTGCTTAACGCATTACTCCATTCT